GACGTATCATGCGAGCTCAACTTCCATTTGCTCACTACTAAAAAAATCTAAAATTTTCATTTTCCCTCAAGAAAAATTTCAACCATACATGCACCCTAAATATAATAATTGCAAATATGTTTCTATACTCCCCCTGCAAGGAACAAATATATATTCCGTCATCAATAACGAAGAAAACATGATTTTATGGAATATTATGCACAAAGCAAATGAAGGAGAGCTCGTATAATAAGTCACAGAGTTGCCAATTTGTATTTGATTGATCACAACTTCAATAATTCATAACTTTCTTATTTTCATTCAGAATTTGCTCAAACTTTCACTCACCTGATTTTGTTATTATTCTGCCTCTATCGAAACAAACTTATTTTTGGGGTGGACTTTCCCTTTAATTCTAGGCACATAAATATGCCGGCCTTGACAGTATAGGAACAACAATTTTGCATCTTGTTCCTGTACGTGTTTTTGTTATTACTGTGAGATTTAGTGCCGGTCATTATAGCATGACCTACAAAAGGATGGATGCAGTTCCTGACACTTAATTGAATAATAGTGGCAGGATCATGAAAAGCACTAATTGACTTATTATAAATTGTAAGAAAATATCAAAAGTTATAACAGGAAAAGCATAACAAAAACATCAAAATTAAAAATATAACAACATTTATAAGGAAAAAAAGATAGGAAACATCAACAAAATATTCATCATTTATGTGTTCAGGGGGTGCTGCTTAAAGATAAACTTGAGTTCTGGTAAAAAAAGAAAATGAATTCTCACAGAATTGAACAAAACTTACACTGAATGTTCAAGATTACAAATAAATGTCATATGCCAAACAATTTTGGAAGAAAATGTTTACTGGCTGAGTAATGAGCATAGAAAGATAAGGAAATCAGGGTAGTACCAGCCCCGACACCACGCGTGTTGTCCCATATACATCTTTCTGTGTAAGTGATTGTTACTTTACCAAGACTGCCAAATTTATGATGATTTTGATGACTACAGAACCTTGCATTACACACCATTACTTACATGCTACATGATCAACTGTTTCTGATCCTTTCCACACCTTTCCTTTCAAAATGCAATCGCATTACCAGTACTAAAGTTTATCTTTAAATAATCGTTTGAATTGTTTTACGGTCTTACTATTCTTGAGATTAGTTGGGAGGTAACCATAGCTTACAGAGAATAATAATAATAATAGTCACTGCTGAATAGTGCTTATTAAATACTACATTTCTCATTGCTTTATATTGTTATTATCATTACCCAAGTCGTTGTGTCATCTTTATTATGTACTGACATACCCTAATGGGGTTATTGCGTTCATAAACTAAACTTAACTATTGGATTCAACACAAATCTGCACATGATAGCGCACAGTCCACTCCCTGGGAATTGTTCCTGCCAGGAACCACAATACACACGCCAATCCAACCACATTAAAGGTAAAGACCAGCTCTGGTCATGCGATTGCATTGTGAAAGAAACGCTGCGGAATCGATCAGAAAAGGTTGATCAACTAAGTATTGGTGTGTACTGCAAGGTTCTGGGATGAATACACTGTGTAATGATAGTTTAATACCTTGGTGAACCAATCTACCCTGGATAGAAAGCATTTAATTGAATAATATAAACAAATTACACGGATCCAAAGATGACATCCTTCATCGACAAAAAAAAAGTTTTTTTAAGAGGAAAAATAACAACTACTTTTTGACAAAAAACATTATTTTTAAAAAATCGAAGCGACGTTCATACTGTACACGTGGGTTGTTTGCAACGTGCACAGTGCAGCGTACTGCTTGCAACGTTTGAAGACATATGTGCATAATATACATACGACACAAAGCCCATGATCGGAAATTAAGAAGGAAAAAAAGAAGAAAAAGTTACACAAACAAGTTATTAAAAAAAAGAAAAAAAAGAAAAAAGAATACAACAAAAACAGAACAGTGGCACCTCTGTGGATCCTATCTATTGATTCAATTATCACCTGTTTGGAGCCAGAAGGGCATTAACTTGCATCATGTTACAGAGTTACATGTTACAGAGTTATGGAACAATCTCCCCAATTTCATACGACAGGCACCCACTTCTGCAACATTCAAATCTTCACTAAAAACGCACCTCTTTGGCCGAAATTAATTAGTTTAAGCTATCCTTACTTACAGGGAAAAAATTAATATTTATTTTAGGGGGGCTACTTTTCAACCTTTTCAAGGTTAGAAGAATCTAACCTGCATGAAAATAACATTCTAAAATTTGTTTTGCATTGAACTCTATGCAAATTTAAGGGGGCTCTTTTCTGATTTTCGGGGGCTCTTTTGGGCATTTTGGGGGCTATTTCGCCCTTAGCCCCCGTGTATTTTTTTCACTGCTTACTTACGTTCTTTGTTTTATTTTGACCATGTTAGCTATCTCTTTATTATGTTATTTACTATGTTAAGTTAGTCATTTTAGTGGTATAAGATTTGTATATTTCTCTGTGCTGATTCATTTCATGTGATTATATATATGCTTGTACAGCGCAAAGAGAAACTTATGTTTATTTTGAGCTATATAAATATTGTATTATTATTATTATTGTTGATGACCTTTTGGCTCCAACACGATGTAAATACAAGCAATATTTGCTCTATGCGCTGTACAGGCATCCTCAGGGTTTGTGTTTCCACTGGTTTCATGTGAGGGTTAGGAATGATGCTAATTGGTCCAAATTGAATCAGTACTAGATATTGACTACCAAGCAACTGATACCTGAGCAAATAACCCCTTTATTTTGGTCTACATTCATTTGCGCCATAGTATGTTGGCAGTTTTATCAACATATATTCATAGAAATATAGTTTATATACAGAATATGGACGTTTACCCTGTTAATGTAGTGAGATTGATGCTAGCCGAGTCAAGCAATTGATAAGAACATTGTCTTTATATAGTGTAAGCTACTGCTTAGGCTAATTAAGACATGTATGACTCTCATTCTTTTTTGTGTAAATGTACATACCTGCCAACATTTAAAAATAAGAATAAGGAATTTTTACACGGTATGCCTTCGAAAATAAGAAATTGCACTTGCAGCGGCAGCGTAACTGGCAATACGCGGTAAATATGTACCTAAAATGAATACAAGTTCGCTGCTCGATCATGCAGCCATTTAACGCACACATTACGTGAACTCTCACATCGCGGCACATGATAAAACAAGCTTAATGAAAAAATGAAAAATCAGAAGATTCTGAATTTTCAGGTCCTAAAAATCCAGAAAATCAGAACATTCCAAATTATCTGAAGGGTTGGCAGGTATGATTGTATGGTCCTGATTAAAGGAAAAGCAACATCCCTGAATGGAATTCTTGGCACATGGATTGTCATGGAGCAAGCCTCTGTAATGCCAGTATAAAATTCTATCGTATTGAAGTGCTATCTCACAGGTATATAGTGCTAAGTTTTATTTTCTTGTAGCCTTTCAATTGTACTTGTAGCAAAGCTGTGAATACAAGGTTGTTCACTTCACTGGACCTTTCTATCAAGCTTAGTGTGGTGCATGCAACATTCATAAAATTGTTAAAAAGAGTACTATAATTCTTCTTTTTGCAGATTTTGGCAATTTCTTCTTCTTTCCATGATTTTGGGTTTACCTATCGTCCAAGGATTGACCAAGATTTACCGTGTCAAACTTACATGAATGAAAACATTTGGCAGTCAATGAGTTATGCTGTTTATTATAATAGAATCTCTGTTCTTATTTCCCTCTACCGATATAATTATATTTCTTATGTGATATATGTTTATACTCTATATTATGTCAATGTTTATTTTGTATGAATGTTATATTTTCATGTATTCCTTGTACTTTTGTATTTTACAAACTTGTTATGTCATTCTAGAGGGTGTATTTGGAAAGCAGTTTTATAAACTGAATATACCTACCCTCTATTTTAAATAAAACTTGAATAAATAAATATATAGATACCTAAAATAGCTTTTGATTATATCCATGATCAATTATGAGGATTACCGTTCAATTAAGTAGATCAATCTCATTGGGTCATTAAAACAAATACTTCAATCTCATGATTCTGTATCCATTTGTATCTTATTGATGTTTATAATCTTTAATTTTGTATTGACATGCAAACGAAACAAATTTTCGATAATGGTACAATAAAATTTGAATTGAATGAATTGCATTAAATTGATTGGGTAATTGCAAGAAAATAGGTCAATCTCATGATTGGGTCATTGCAAGAAATAGGTCAATCTCATGATTGGGTCATTGCAAGAAATGTAAGATCTTTAAATGTCTAGGTATTATGATCGATGAAAACATATTATGGTCTGATCATGTAGATTATTTATGTAGAAAAGTGTTTGCCGGACTTGCCATGCTTAGAAGAGTTAAACCATATGTAGATGACATTTCATTGAAATTATTATACACATGTCTCATACAATCACAAATTGATTATTGTTGTGAAATTTGGGGAAACAGGTTTTTAAGTCATATAGATAAGATAACTAAACTATAAAAGAGGGCTGCAAGAATGATTTTAAACTGTAATATGTATACCCCATCAAAGGAATTATTTACTCGCATGAAATGGATACCATTTCAAGAGAGGATTAAATATTTTAGATGTATATTTGTTTTTAAATGTCTTAACGATTTATCTTCAGACTTTCACAAAGATGTTTTTCAAGAAGTATCAACTCAACATAATTTTTTACACACGGCAATGTACTCGTCATGACCTGATTATTGATAAATGTCATACTGAATACCTTAAGAATGCAATAAGTTATGATGGTGCTTCTCTATGGAATAAATTACCTTCTAATATTAAGCAGATAAGTAATGTAAAGACCTTCAAATTGGCACTTAAGAAATATTTTTTCCACCTTGCTGTTGAATTAGGATAGGTTTTGAGGAACACCTTTTTTAAATTATTTTTTACTGCTAGTCTGCCTCTATTTTTCTTTAAGCTCTCTCTCTCTCTCGCTTCTTTTACTTAATCCTTTACTCTCTTAGCAAGTGATCTATTTATAATAGCATTCATCATAATTGACACTGATTAATATGTTTGATATTGTATATTTATTTTCAATATGTAATACTGTTCTATTAATGTATTCATACCTAATTGTTTGTTTTATCTTTTTAATTGTATATACATGTTTTACAGGGCCTCATGGAAGACCAACTTTTTGTTGAATGGGCTACCCTGGTGAAATATAAATAAATAAATAAATAAAAAATAAAATAGGTCAATCTCATGATTGGGTCATTGCAAGAAATAGATCAATCTACAAGTCATCTGGCGGCTGAGCCATTGTTGTCTGTGATTGGTGGATTAGGGATGACATCACAAACTACGAAGCCCTCTGTTTGGAACGCAGATTTCAGCTCAGCCTGGATAGAAAGAAATAAAAAAAGTTCAGTTAGTGACAATGTGGGAGAGGTTACAAATTTAGACATAAAGATATTTGGAAACAGGATGTAGAATGAGATAAAGGAAACAGAGTATGCAAAGCAGAAAAAAGTGAGTGAGAGAGGGAGAAAGGATAGAGAGAAAAGGGTGAGATAGAGAAGAAAAAAATTAGGCAAGTACCTGTATCAGGGGGGTGTTTCACAAAGATCCTAAGTTGAACTTATCTCTAAGTTGGACTTCACGATTACCGGTATGGAAAGCCGTGAGCATCTTTGAAAATATTTTGTAAAAGTTCTTTTAAAAGGCATAAAATGATTTTAATGATTCATATTTTCTATTATCAAGGAGATTTCATGTTCCTTATCTGGAATGTATATAAAGTCTAAAATACTCGAATTTATGTAAAGTCTAAAATACTTTTTTAAGTCCAACTTAGAGTTAAGTTTGACTTAGGATCTTTGTGAAACACCCCCCCCCCCCCAGGTAATGCAAATAAGAAAGAAATAGAGAAATAGGATAGGATTTTTATTGATTATATGACACTATTGAATACAAAGGCTAGAAAATCTTAGAAATATATTATGTTGGTTGTGATGGGTGTATCGACCGATTCTAGATACAGTGTACGAACCGTCCTGCGGACGAGTTAGTTTAGTTTTGGAGTTAAAGAACGAAGCTCAAAATAATGAAGATTAGTCTCTGAAATCTAACCACTTTGTGTTGTAATATAATCTATTGTTGTGAACAAAGGACCTGGGGACAACGGGTAGAGGAAACCACTCGTAACAAATGGGGGCTCGTCCGGGAGTCGAACCCAGGACCTCTCGATACACCTATCACATGGTACAACCAAGCCTTTTATTAAGTCAAAGCAGACCGGGAGCCAAATATCTGAAAAAGCGGCTCCCGGTCCTTAATTTTTTTAGAGAACCGGGAGCCGTTTTCCAGGACCAGGAGCCGTTTCCAAAATTGATGAAAATATGTATTCTTTTAAATTATTTGTTAAACGTTACCTTTTATTTATACATACGGTAGTTTAATTTCTACAGTTTACATTTTGAGCACTCTTATATTAAATCACTCATACCTTGGATAAATCTGTAGTTGTTGTAGTTCATGTTTAATACTATTTTCATGCCGTTAAATGTCAAAAATTGAAAATTTTAGGAAAGGGGGAATTAAATTATTTTTATAAAAAAATACTTAAGAAAAACCATCTATAATGACAATGCAGAGCTGCCAACCTGTCACTTTCAAAAAACATATTACTGGTATTCAGCTTGAAAAAGCATATTTTAGGTGAAAAATTTTTTTTTTGCCTGTTTAACGGGTTTGTTATTTAGACCTGTCACTTAAAAAAATATTTTAAAAAAATAAAATAAAAATAATAATAATTAAAAAAAAAAAAATTGTTAAATATATTTACCTATTTGATCAAAAAAATCCATTATTTAAAACATCACAAAATTTTAGTCAATGAGTACGAGGACCGCTGAATCAAGGCAAGTCTGGAGTTGCAATCAACTTTGTACATAAAGTCAATGCATCAGCAGGTCCGGTGTTCTGTTTTTCATTTGGCTTTTTGAAGATACCATTACATCCGAAGGGCATGCGATAGGCAAAAAAACTGGCAACAAAATCGCTGATTTCTTGATTTTTAGCGCTATTTTGATGAAACTGTTTCTTAAACCTGGGCTAAACCCCCGTGAGCTTTGGAAATATGACTCCGATTCCGCATTTTTGACGGCAAAATTTGGCTTTTGGGATGGATTTTTGGAAGTTACATCGAGACTTTCTTGTACTGACACTGTGTGTGTAGTGCAGTACAGCACTGATGTCATTTGTGTGTGTATGCATGGCTTGGGGAAATGCGCTCGTCTTAGCTTTGAGTGGTGTACATCCCCTGTATTGTGTGCTCCGTACTCCGCTAGGAGTAGGAGATAGCGGCCGCTCGTATTTGCAATGACGAACCTTCGTCATTGCCTTGTTTTCGTTCACATTCTGCCCCATTAATATTCTCCTTTTCCTCCTTTTCCTTATCCTTATCGTCAGGAAATCGCATTCGTTTTGCACGTAATGTTTGTTATTCCTAGTTAGGTGCTTTTCTCATGTCCTTTTCCTTTCACATTTCATAGGCATAGTCTCTAACATCCCTTCAAGGTCACTACATTCTTCGATTTTCGAAATCACTCATGCATAACCGTCCAGGCGCCATTTTGTCCGTTTCTGGTCCATTTTAAGGCCTTTCTTTCTTCCTTCCTATCTCCACTATCCTAGATCCTACACATTTCTAACAAATTCCTCTAGATAGTCTAAGAGATGTTCTTTTATCTGCGACGTATAACCTGCCCTTCAAAATGCCATCTTCATACTCAAAATTCAAATCTGAAACCGACTCCGTCAACTATCTCTCAAATTCTTGAAAAATTGACACCTAAATAATCTAAAACTGCCATAACTTTCTCATATAAATTCCGTTTTGTATTTAAATCTCACAGTATCCTTATCTCATAATTGCACATAGCCATGCCAAATTTCACGCTCCAATGACTTTGCACAACATAAATAGCGCCCTCTAAAGTTCTGGGAATTGGCTTTCTCTCTGTGGCCGTATCTCCATAATGGCTTGGCAAACCCGTACCCTTTTTTGGATTTAGATACTTGAAGATATGCCCTTTCCAGCCATATACAAAATTATATACCCTATCACTGACCAAATTTGAGAAAATTGCCCTCCAAATTCGCCATTTTCAAGAAAATTCCAAAATAACTTCAACTTGCTCTAAAATTACGATCCTTTGACCTACGTCAATAAAACTTGGCACACACATGTATTTATATACGTGACAACTGTCCGCAAAGTTTGGTAAAATTTGATTATGTCAGCGCAAAGTTATCTAAAAAAATGATGTATTTACTATGCATTGCGTGATAGCGCGTTAAATGCGTGCAATACATTGCGCGAAGATAACAATGGTGTCAAACTGACCGCAATGAAGTGCCCTTTCGAATGATACCAAGTATAGTATATGTTCACACAGAAAATTGTGAATAAATCGCATTTGAACAAAGGTCACTACACGAATTCCGCCGAGTTTCCGCCCGAATCTAACACGTATCGACTATGACGTCATTTTTTCAGACTACTTTTCGCCCCTTAAACGTCCTTTTTTTTCCTTGAAAATTTGCAGTGACATGACGAGTTCCAATACGCAGGGCACCTCTTGGCCGGATTTTTGAAATTGGTCAAGGGGGCCATTTAAGACGCCATTTTGTCCTATAAATCTATATTACATCACGTGTTTCGATAGGATTATCATAGAAAAAAAGAGAGTGGTTTACAATAACAATCATGAAATTTTCTTTCTAATGATACCAAATACGGCCCATAAAGAGACATAAAGAGAGAGAGAAAAAACAATTTAACTCCGGTCATAATACAGATCCTGTACGTTTTCCGCTCAGGCATTACACGCATTGTCTATGGGGCATATCGGGTTCACGCTTTTGACCCCCAGAACGATCTTGATTGCAATGACGAACATGCACCAAATCCCCTTGGTTTTTGCACGCAGTGCTTGCGAGCCCTTTCTACGTTCTTTCCCCTATCCCAATTTTTGTCAAACTTCGTAGGCATAGTCACTACCATCCCATCAAGGTCACTGTTGAGGTCTTTCTTTCGCCCTACCTATCTCCAATATCACAGAAGCTACATACTTCGTACAAATTGCTCTGGATAGGGCGAGAGAAGCTCTTTCGTTTGACACGTAGAAACACGGCGTCATTGCACGCACATCGTTGTGACACGATTGCATTTCTAGTTATTAGTGCTGCAATTGTTTCTGGGCGATTTTAATTAGGATTCTCATTATGTAATGATTTGTTAGGGTTCATTCAGTCCATGTTTAACTCGTATCAAGTAAGTTTTTGTCACATTTGTGAACATTTAGTGCTAGACATGTGGGAGTTTATGAAACAGAAAATGTTAATTCTCCCAGACCGGGCGCCAGAAATAATAATGAACCGGCGCCCGGTACTCATTTTCCCCGTCTTACCGGGCGCCAAAAGTCAGGGACCGTAGGGTAAAAATCGCCCGGCGCCCGGTTAATAAAAGGCTTGGGTACAACACAAACCCATGTAAAACAGTTAAAAATAAACTATGCATTGACATTCAACACTTTGTGTTGTAATATAATCTATTGTTGTGAACAAAGGACCTGGGGACAACGGGTAGAGGAAACCACTCGTAACAAATGGGGGCTCGTCCGGGAGTCGAACCCAGGACCTCTCGATACACCTATCACATGGTACAACACAAACCCATGTAAAACAGTTAAAAATAAACTATGCATTGACATTCTATGGTTCTTACAGTCATTTTCAGAATGCTAACGTTTTGTTAACGTTCATCATGGTAAATCTCTGCAGATCGAGTACCGCTGTGGTACTTTTCACAGATTGCTTGATTATTTGCTTATCACTCAGCAGTTTTTTGTCTAAATTAATTGGCAGATGATATTCATTTATATTCAAATCAACATGTGATAATAATTATCTTTTAAAAACTCCAAATTTTATTAAGTTAAACTGAAAATGGAAATTCTTTTTGCCCAATTGATCGTGAGCCCGGCAGCCACTGAGCAGCCCAGATCGACGTTGCTCTATTCCTTATTGTTGAACGCCAAACGAGGTAGCAGCAACTTTATTTGAATCTATTTGAATAATTACCAGAGCTCTAGACTATCTTAGAAGGAAATAGTAGAAGGAAAAAGAAAAAGAGGCAGACAAAGAAAGCAGTGGTTTGACAACATCAAAGAATGGACAGGTCTCACATATTCAGAAGCCGAAAGATTAGCACAGGATAGAAACAAATGGAGAAAGACAACAAGAAGATGTGCAGATGTGGTTGCCAATCGCCAGCACCTGACGGCGGCAGCCAGGTAGGTAGATTATCTTCAAGCTGACTGACTTACCAGTTTATCTGTATCTAAACAAAGACCTATGACTGCACCTCCGCTGCCTGAGAACTTGGCTGATGATCCATACTGCATTCAAAACACACAATTGTGAAGCAATGAATTATCTCATAATGAGAACAACTTAGCTGACGATCCACAATATTCATTAAATACAGAGAAACATAAAGACTTAGTCATTACATCTAGCGATGATCAATACTACATCAAATAGATAAGTTTTAAAAATTGTTCATCATAATTGAAACTTAGTTGATATTTCATACTGCATTAAAAACATATAGTAACATAATATAATTTGTTCATGGTGATTGAAACTTAGTGGATCATTTATGCGTTATTAAAATCATAGAAACAAACATTTTGTTCATAATAATTACATCATGCTGATGATCCTTTATACATTCAATGCATCATCTATAAGCCATTATGTTAATGATTCTATCAAGCCAACTATCGATCAAAATGTGTAATTTTTGTCCCTAAATTGGGCGACTTGTTATTTTCATGTATAAACATGTATATATATATTATTTTTTAAGGGAGGGGGGGATGCTAGGGTAAAGTATTTTTTCGGTTGAATTGATATGTTCTTGCTGTATATACAAACAAGTTATGTTTTTAAGTGATTGGTACACTTTCATTAAGCCTACCTGATCTACATTTGCCACACTCAACCAAGGTGATGTAAATGGATACCTGGCAGGAATTAATTCTTTGAAATGCTAGAGCGCCGAAATGGCAGCACAGCTAAAGCAGGGGTAATAATCTCCAAGTTTGGAAGCGCTTAGTGATTCTATGAAGCGCTATATAAAAACTGAGTATTATTATTATCACCTGTCTAGCAAGCTGTATCATTCTCAGATTCTCTGCTCCAATCACTGCATCACCATAGATCACTCTGCGTAGGTCAAAGTTTGAATTCATCAGCTTTAGCAGTTCACTGTGGTTGCCAATTTGAAGAGCAGATCTGTTTAAAGAACAATGCAAGAATGAAAATTGATTTGTAAAAACCAATTGTTTTGAGTGTGACGAATGTCAGAGGACCACAGGGGAATCCCACATGGTAATAAAAACATGAAAGGCAAAGGTTCAAGCCCCCTACACGGCACTAGTTTTCCTTGTCAAAACATTTATATTATATTGACTTGGCTTGAGGGGCACATTAGACATATTGACCGCGCTAAAATCATATTGCCCCGAGTCGAAGATGAGGGCAATATGGTCTTAGCGCGGTCAATATGTCTGATGTACCCCGAAAGAAGCCCTGTCAATATAGTTAATGTTACTTATACAAGGCATTTTTTTACAAATGATATACAACTTTGGTATCAAGCATGATTTTTACTCACTATGTATGCATGTATTTCCCTTACTCTTGTCCAGAGATGAAAATGTATGAAAATGTAACGTAAATTGTTACCCTGTGTAAACTGTAACGCGTACAAAATACTGCGCGTAGGCACTTTAATAAAAGCGCACTGCCAAGAAAGAGTGGAACTTGGCAGAATGTTGCCCTCTGTTTTACTAGCGGTCTACAGGGAAAACCTGGAAGAAGGCAATATGGCAAATATTGCCTGCTTCGGTTTCGTACTCGGATTAGTGTGCAAAATACGACTTTTTATTTTACAGCTAAAATGCCTTGTAGGGTGTTACGTAACAATCATTAATATTTGCGTCTATTCGTGAAGGTGCTAAATGGGTACCAATGAATGCTGTGAGCACTGAATCCAGTAACTTAGCTAGAGGCGGGGTGATATTGGATGCCTTGCATGATATGTGTGTTATGAAAATATCAAATGTTAGGCATAACAAAACATGTTTAACAGAATGAATACAAATTTGTTGGAGCATTCAAAATTGATAAATATTTGCCCAAAGAGGGAGAAAAAAAAGTTTAAAAAAAAAAAAAAGATTTCCAACCTACCCATGTTTTGGCACCTAAAGGGAAATACAACATCATTTTTTTAGAACTTATCATTATTATTACTAAAATTCTGTGAAATCTTTTAATCCCTACCTGGCTAGATCGGTAAGATTAGCAAAGGTCTTCATTGCCTCATGAACATCCTTATCTCCCGCTATCCATCTCTCTCTCACATCATGATGAATCTTCCCTGAATCACTGGGGTTCCTGATGTAGGCCAACCATAGACCAGGGATCAGGTCCTGATCTATGTACTCATAGATCCCATGGCCCTGTCGCTCCATGATGGTCTGAGAGAAGTCCATGTAGACAGCTCCATGATAGACCTGGATCACACGGTCCTGGAAAACAAACAAAAGTCAAATAAACAGTGAGTTTGTTAAATAGATTTAAGGGATATTACAAGAAGTGGAGTATAGCTACCAACTCTAGTGTTTCTTTCACTCATAATTAATTACCATGGCTCATAAATGATGAATACAGCACATTTCTCAGTACCGTAAATCTCCGTGTATAAGGCGCACCCCTATTTTGTTGTTTTGTTGCCGAAAACCCACGCGGGGAAGGACCTTCATTTTCCATCCAGGTGCAGTAGAAGTTGTGAACTTGTCACAAATAATAGTAACAACAGTCTAAGGCTTCATGATACCAAGTGTCCCACACCAGCCTCTTCACATCACCTAGCAGAAGCACTGTGTTCTATGCCAAACATCAATAGTCATGCATGATATGAATAGCATCCTCTATCTTTCTAATAATGGAGTACCTAGGATAGAACCTTGTGGTACACCATTTGTTATAGAAAACATATGCGACTTGCCAGGCATAGCGCCATAAATCGAAACTAAAAAAAAAAAAAAAAAAAAGTGCGCCTTAAACACGGAGATTTACGGTATACATTTCCATGCTGTATTGGCACTTCAAATCAAGCCTCAATACTTACCTCTTTGAAGCAGATGACTTTCTTTTTAGGAGGCTGCCCCTTTTAATGTTTTTCTTGTTTGATTTAGTTGTCTTTTTTTATGTAACAGAAATAAGGTAAAATCCAATGAAATTATCATCATCATCATGTTTTACTCTTTGCATATATACTTTCATGTTCATACACAGTACATATACCTTGTTCTCAATGGTAGCATTATACCTAATTGGAAGTTGTACAAGTGTTCGCACACATTAAAAAAACATACCCTGGCCCCATTTTACAAAACTTGTCATCGGTAACAAAAGACAGTTTTGATTATAAGCTAGTGAAATCCTTTCTTCTTATTGGTTAACAGCAGATTTGTCACTGAATTTTGTCATTTGTCATTGAAAACAGGCTATGTGAAACAGGGGTTGTTTCACAAAGATCATAAGTTGAACTCATCTCTAAGTTGGACTTAAAAGTTATGGAAAGCCGTTAGCATCTATGAAAATATTTAGTAAAAGTTATTTTAAAGAGCATAAAATGTTGATTCAAATCATTCAAATTTTCTATTATCAAGGATATTTCATGTTCTTGATGTGGAATTTATAAAAAGTCTAAAATATTTGAATTTTTGCTTTTGAATATATTTAATTTTAAGGCTACAAATGGCTCTCCATAATGTTTAAGTCCAACTTAGAGTTAAGTTTGACTTGGGATCTTTGTGAAATTGGTCCCCTATGATCTTACCTGTAGACCTGCACTGATGAAGAGCTCATCAATCTCAACATCTAGGATGAACTGAGGCTGCAGAGGCTTCGGAAGGTCCTGAAGATACAACGATGGACTCATTCTAATCAGAATATTCATGGACTTATTTACCACAAAGTCTAGAATGAAGACATTGTTTAAGCCACATTTGTTTTATTTCAAAGAATGAATAAAGACTTAAAGCCCATAGGCACTAGTTTGGCAAGGAGGGATTAGACCACCCAGGAAGGTCACTGACAGGAGGCTATCTAATCAACTCAGCCCTCAATTGACATAAGATAAAGAGGATCACGGGGGACCAATGGTCACCGATTAGGCATTGTTTTCTATATAGAGGGCACAAGTAGCTACAAGTAGTACAGTGGGCCTTTAAAGAGAGGTTAAGTTCTGGTAAGGGTAATACATACACTGTAATCTTTACCCATTTTTCTTTAGGTAAAGAATATCTTAGTATAAATTTCCCCTGAAAAGGAACAAAATGCCCTATTAATAGAAATATCTGAAAAGGGCCGTGATTAAAATCATCAAAGGCACTGCTTGGATAACTATCGACTTACATGAATGGAACTTACTGAGTTATTGAGATCAAAGAAATGCATCAGACATCTGAGAGTGGCTGCTACAATGGCACTGCTACCAGCCAATCCCTGGGAGAGAGAGAGAGAGAGAGATGGGAGGGAAGGTGGAGGGAGAGAAAGAGAGAAAGAGAGAGAGAGAGGGAAGAAGAGAGAGAGGAGGGAGGAAACGTGGAAAGACAGAAGGGGTGGGAGGGAGGGGAGAGAAAGAAAGGGAGGGAGGGGGAGGTAAAGACAGAAAGAAAAAGGGAGGGAGAGAGGGTGACCGTGAGAGAGAGAGAGAGAGATAAGGTGGGGGGGGGGATGTTATTTTTCTAGTGTATCATGTTTAACACTACAGAATATATACAAATTAAAATTGCAAGACAAAACATGATTACTGCATTTTATCATACAAATTATTCATAAAAATATGGTATATACACACATTATAATTCTCATTCCTAAAGGTCCAATACCTCTCCAGAAATTGACAAAACAGAAAATCTTTATTCCTTGATTGGCAAGACAAAGGAATGGCTGTCATGGAGGTATTGATAGATTCATCTCTGACTTCAAGAGTTATGCTAAAGTTCTTGACTTCTCCTTACCACTTGTCGAGGAATGTTGGTGTCGTATTTCAGCTTGAAATTTCTCTTGGGAAGGGCAATCCTAATTGAATTGAAAAGAAGATGATATATAACATCAAATCAACTAAGATGACACTGTGATACTCATGTATATGTTAAATGTTAAAATGAAATACCTATTCTGTCAACCTGAGAATGTTTTTGTATTTTACTTATACAGCAGAGTTTAGAAATACTATTATCTCTTGTTAATTTCATCTTTGAATGAAATCTCATAAACTTTATGTATAACTGCATGTTTTAACATTGCTTTGTTCTTAATGTGCTTTTATTGTAAACTAAATGTAATTCACTTCTTTGGCTGCTATTATCATCATTTTTAAATAAACTATTCAACAACAATCATACCACTTGCACAGCAATGAACGCTGAGTCCAGTTTGAAAAAAACCTCTTCCAAGAAATTATAGTATCGTAACACTACTGCATATGAAGGTAAATTTCAAGAGCTTATCCTAACTAAGGAGGGGCATTTTGACCCCCCCCCCCCCCCCCAAATAAGGATAGGGTTGAAATGTAGAGTAAATCCTTACCCCTACTCTGAACAGCAGTATAGGAGAACATTCACAAGTAGATTGGAGGAAAATCAGTCACATATTGTGTACGCTTAAAGCCCGTCTGTACTAGTTTGGCCAGGAGGGATTGGACCTCCCTGCAAGGTTACTGACAGGTGGTTATCTCATCAAATCAGCTCTCAAATAGAAAAAGAGGATCATGGGAGATCAACAGGCACCGATTAGGGATTATTTGCAATATAGAGGGCGCAAGTAGCTATAAGTAGTGCAGTGGGACTTTAAAACAATGATTCTATTTGTTGAATTGACGGGTACAATTAAGATTGTTACCCTTGTTCTGAGCAGTACTGGTAGAACTTCTTACAGGTAGCTTGCAGGAGTCTCAGCCCTCCTAGGTAGCCTTCCTTACGACTGATCCCATGAAGGTCACCAAGACTACCAAACTCAGTCGGGTCATTCAGAGGGTGCGGCACCAAGATCTGCAACAAGAAATTAATTATTTTATTTCATTATGATTTATTTAAATCCTGTTTGTACTAGTTTGGCCAGGAGGGATTAGACCACCCAGGGTGGTCACTGACAGGTGGCTATCTCATTAACTCAGTTCTCAATTAACATTTGAAAAGAGGATCATGGGGGACCAATGATCACCGATAAGGCATTGTTTTCTATAAAGAGGGAGCATGCGAGTAGCTACAAGTAGTACAGTGGGGCTTTAAAGGGAGGGGGTCTTCAGTTTCCAAGTGCATATATAAGACCATATTTCGCTGACACCACACTTGTTGAAAATACCCTTAATGTTTGTACAAGTCATGCACACTGCAAACCCACTCTTATGCATCTTTAAAGTGACTCGGTAACATTGCTTCAGCTTCTGAAATCCTGGATTTAGCTCATGCTGCAATCATAATTTATAAACCTTTAGGTCAGTTATGAATCCCATAACTTTTACAAGCCGATTGCCTGTTTGATTATAAATATTTATTTCACTATGATTTATTTAAAGCCTGTCTGTACTACTTTGGCCAGGAGGGATTACACCACCCAGGGTGGTCACTGACAGGTGGCTATCTCGTTAACTCAGCTCTCAATTAACATAAGAAAAAGAGGATCATGGGGGACCAATGATCACCGATAAGGCAATGTTTTCTATAAAGAGGGAGCATGTGAGTAGCTACAAGTAGTACAGTGGGGCTTTAAAGGGAGGGGGTCTTCAGTTTCCAAGTGCACAAGGCCATATTTCGCTGACACCAGTCTTGTTGAAAATAATATTAATGTTTGTACAAATCTGCTTACAGCAAACCCACTCCTATGCGTCCTGAAAGACAGGATAATCTTTTCAATAAGAACATTTTGATAGCAAATTCATTCAGAGATCTAGGATCTGTAGAACCCATCAGGGAGGAAGGAAGGAAAGGAATGAGTGTTTTAGCTGTCATGTGTGACATGACTTGCGAGTGTACAGAACTTAAAATTAAGTAACAGTCTAATCAAACATGTACAAGCCCTATAAAATGGGTTCAAGAGTGCAGCCAATGAGAAGCGTCGAAATGGATCACATGTCCGTGCTTGATTTGTACCATATGCACAGGGAGAGCGTTTTGGTGATAAGAACTGTCAATTTCTCAACTTTATACTCATATTGAAGACCCATCTTATAAAACAAATAATACATATGTTTTTTAGATAGGCCATGTTTAATATGCACTGCACTTGGTTAAGTCACTATGGGACGAATAATGAACTTGACAAGTCTTGTTCATTATCCTACTGTGACTTAACTTTCGTGCAGTGCATATTCACTAATGCACTCACGAACATGTATTATTTGTATACGGTCATATCATTATCATTATTACAATTATCATCATCATTAATTGTCACTCTTCAACAGCCTGTTGACCGAGAGAAGATGAGTTGAGATAAAGAAAGCTTACCAGCTTGGGACTCTCAATGATGGTCACCTCGGCCCAGAAGAGAGAGAGAGAGAGAGAGAGAGAGGGAGGGAGGGAGGGAGAGAGAAGATGAGTTGCAGATGAAGAAAGCTTACCAGCTTGGGACTCTCAATGATGGTCACCTCGGCCCAGAAGAGAGAGAGAGAGGGAGGGAGGGAGGGAGGGAGAGAGAAGATGAGTTGAGATGAAGAAAGCTTACCAGCTTGGGACTCTCAATGATGGTCACCTCGGCCCAGAAGAGAGAGAGAGGGAGAGAGAGAAAGACAGAGAGAGAGAGGGAGGGAGAGAGAACATGAGTTGAGATGAAGAAAGCTTACCAGCTTGGGACTCTCAATGATGGTTACCTCGGCCCAGAAGAGAGAGTGAGAGAGAGGGAGAGAGGGAGAGAGAAGATGAGTTGAGATGAAGAAAGCTTACCAGCTTGGGACTCTCAATGGGCGTGTTTATGCTTCACTTTTTCTGGCCAAAATCAGGCATCTGTTACGCGTTTAGTTTAAAACACCGTTGCGTCCATGCTCACTTTTGTAGAATCACCGAAAAACGGCGATCACGATCACCGATCGTAAACTCACAAAAGATGCGTTTACAATTTGTAAACGCGTTTAAATGGGGTCAACGCACTGACCTCTAGTGGGTCTACGTAGCATGCACAGTGAAGGTTTGCGAATCCAGCTGGAATACCAATTAAGGCCACCAAGGGAGAATTGCCTGTAGGAGCCGGAGAAGTAAGCATGAACAGTACATCGTGGAACTGCGATCACGATGGGCATTTATGATGAGCGTTTCAGATCGCTCATTCTGCCTTCAAAAGTGAAGCATAAACGCGCCCAATGATGGTCACCTTGGCCCAGAAGAGAGAGTGAGAGAAAGAGAGAGTGAGAGAGAGGGAGAGAGAGAGAGAGGGAAAGAGAAGATGAGTTGAGATGAAGAAAGCTTACCAGCTTGGGACTCTCAATGATGGTCACCTCAGCCCAGAAGAGAGAGTGAGAGAGAGAGAGGGAGAGAGAAGATGAGTTGCAGATGAAGAAAGCTTACCAGCTTGGGACTCTCAATGATGGTCACCTCGGCCCAGAAGAGAGAGAGAGAAAGAGGGAGAGAGGGAGAGAGAGAGAAGATGAGTTGAGATGAAGAAAGCTTACCAGCTTGGGACTCTCAATGATGGTCACCTCGGACCAGAAGAGAGAGAGAGAGAGAGAGAGGGAGAGAGGGAGGGAGAGAGAGAGGGAGGTGAAGATGAGTTGAAATGAAGAAAGCTTACCAGCTTGGGACTCTCAATGATGGTCACCTCGGCCCAGAAGAGAGAGAGAGAGAGAGAGAGAGAGAGAGAGAGAGAGAGGGAGGGAGGGAGAGAGAAGATGAGTTGAGATGAAGAAAGCTTACCAGCTTGGGACTCTCAAAGATGGTCAACTTGGCCCAGAAGAGAGAGAGAGAGAGGGAGGTGAAGATGAGTTGAAATGAAGAAAGCTTACCAGCTTGGGACTCTCAAAGATGGTCACTTCGGCCCAGAAGAGAGAGTGAGACAGAGAGGGAGGGAGGAAGAGAGGGAGGGAGAGAGAAGATGAGTTGAGATGAAGAAAGCTTACCAGCTTGGGACTCTCAATGATGGTCACCTCGGCCCAGAAGAGAGAGAGAGAGAGAGGGAGAGAGAAGATGAGTTGAGATGAAGAAAGCTTACCAGCTCGGGACTCTCAATGATGGTCACCTCGGCCCAGAAGAGAGAGAGAGAGAGAGAGAGAGGGAGGGAGGGAGGGAGAGAGAGGATGAGTTGAAATGAAGAAAGCTTACCAGCTTGGGACTCTCAAAGATGGTCACTTCGGCCCAGAAGAGAGAGAGAGAGAGAGAGGGAGGGAGGGAGGGAGGGAGAGAGAGGATGAGTTGAAATGAAGAAAGCTTACCAGCTTGGGACTCTCAAAGATGGTCACCTTGGCCCAGAAGAGAGAGAGAGAGAGAGAGGGAAAGAGAAGATGAGTTGAGATGAAGAAAGCTTACCAGCTTGGGACTCTCAATTATGGTCACCTCGGCCCAGAAGTGAGAGAGAGAGAGAGAGAGAGGGAGGGAGAGAGGGAGGGAGGGAGGGAGGGAGAGAGAAGATGATTTGAGATGAAGAAAGCTTACCAGCTTGGGACTCTCAATTATGGTCACCTCGGCCCAGAAGTTCTTGATGGAAACAGAGATGGTCTTACCATGGAAACCATCAGACGGGTTACCCATTAAACCTATCCTGTATACAGAGAGAGAGAGCATTAGAGATTGGAGTATGCCTCGGAGGCTTGCATGCACCCACAAAGCCTCACGGTAACAAAATGCTAGAGCAAGTACAAAGAACAGCGGCTCACTTTGTGTACCTTGAATACACCACATCGCCATCTGCTCTTGTGGCAGCTCTAGGGTGGGACACGCTTTGCATACGTTGAATCCTCGACCAATGCACCCTTCTCTACAAGATCCATCACCGTCTTGTCTCCATACCCGCACAAACTATTGTCATCTCTGCTACATACTTTGGAAGACACGACCACAACCTGAAGTATGTAATTCCTGTTGCAACTATTGACACCTTCAAGTTCTCGTACTACCCAAGAGTAATAAGGATCTGGACCCATATGCCAGGCTCAGCAGTAAATGCCACAGGAATAAATCGGTTATTGAGATAACGCGATCACAAGCTGTTTTTGCATACATAATGTGTGCTGTGGCCTTTGACCTTTGACCTCATGACCCCTAAATCTAATCAGTTCATTGGCTCTGCAAGTAACATACATGACCAAAGTTTGGCAGGAACCCATCAATCGGTTCTTCAGATAACGCGATCACGAGCTGTTTTTGCATACCTAATGAGCCCTGTGACCTTTGACCTTTGACCTCGTGACCCCAAAATCTAATCAGTTCATCGGCTCTGCAAGATACATGCATGACCAAAGTTTGGCAGGAATCCATCTATCGGTTCTTCAGATAACGCGATCACAAGAACGGGACGTACGTACGTTCGTACGGACGGACAACCCGAAAACATAATGCCTCTGGCTACTTCGTAACGGAGGCATAAAAATGGAGATGCCAGAATGATGACATTGACAATGATTAAAACTTTGATTGAAAAATAATGAAACAATATGGTCTGAGGGTCATCCACCATCGTGTTGTTAAACACTATTTCCAATTTAATTTGAATGTGGTGACTTGTCGGTTATGAGCAGAAGGTCATTGCAGGCTTTGATTTTCTATAATACTAGAAGCTGTCTCGACAGTAATTCAACAGATATCTGGGTAGAGACACTTCGTCACATCAAGCTACGAGAAAGTATATCATCATCTCACAGAATTCTACTCGAACACCGCATCAAAATCAGGTAGGACCAACATCCCTTACGTTATGCTTGTTGCACATGAGACGTCTTTCTGATTCCTTCAGTTTGTAATTGTATTGAAAATGATATCGATTATTTATGTATGTTCTAATCTTTGAATGTTTATCCTGAAGTTTGTAGTCTATAGTGTAACGTTTAAACAAAATTTATAAAAACTACCAAACCAACCGAAGATGTCAATTGAGTAACACATTAAAGAATACAGTTTATTATTTAGGAAATATTAAATCTATCAGAATTTTGCTCAAAGATACATGTCACGTTATTCGACGATAAACATTGATTCAACCAATAGGGTATTGCTTATAGCCTTTATATCATCATGTTATTATATTTAGTTGAATCTGGAGATATAGACACCGCTGCTATCGAGGAAAAGGGTGATATGGATGTGTTTGGTTTCTCATTCGGAGGGCAAAAAGTAAGATTTACCATGAATTTCTGATAAGTTATTTCTCACATTTTTAATTACTGTTAGCTCAATATTATTATATGTTACCATTTCTTAAGCTACGGGGTAGGGGTGGACGTGCCCCGGCCACTCATCTCACTGAGTAGTCAGAATGTAGAAAAATCCAGAAAAGGCCAGAAAAGAGAGAAAATGAGAAGAGAAACGAAAAAAGGCATGGACTATCTTCCGCACCATGCCCATATCAGTAGGCTTGTAAAGCTACCACACGAAACAAAAAACGATATAATAAAAAAAATCATGACGTCTAACGAGAAAAAAATAAAGATACAATTGTTTTCATAATAATGTATTATTTTAATGTGTAACGAACGGTGGCCCTCAACGTCATGTTATGAATATTATCGCCCTCCTGAGGCTGAGCCTAATTAAGAATCTTTAGCTGACCAGTTGGGAACTCTCCTAGGATTATCTTTCCCTTGTTCATGCACGCTGTATCATTATTATTGCTATATTGTATTTATATTTCAAGCGCAGACCCTCACGTTTTCATGTAACGTACAGTTAATTTTCGGCTGATTAACTACGTCGTTTTCATGTGTGTTATTTTTATACTTTTATTACAAGGCATCTTCGGAGTAATTGGTAACGTCTAGTGGAACTTGTGAAACAATTACACATCATCATCGTACAATCAACGTCACTCTCATTTCATCCATGACAACGGAAGCTCAGCGTTACTGTGACAGCCACCAACTTCCCTACCCCCCCCCCCCTCCCCCGAATTTTTTTTTTTTTAAAAGGTGGGCTGTATTTCAATTCAATTCAATTCGATTCAAGGTTTATTAAAATATATCTTCGCAGTCGTTGCTAGATGGCTGACTTGCGATAAAGTTCACAGATAAAAACATGCAAAATTACAAAATAAACATATTAACTACAATGAACATAGATTGGCATGAATTTAAAACGAAATAGAAATTAGAGTACAGAATTACAGTTGAAATTATAGTTAAAATAATGTGATATCGATTCAACGCAATGTATGTCGAGAGTATATTAATCAGTTGGCTTTAAAATATATAAACAGAAAACTAAACGGGTTCAAATGTGAGTTCCAGAAAAAAATGGGTTGTTCAAATTATATCAGGAGTTTAGTGATTATTTAAAACCATAATTGTAAACATCTAAAGACAAGACGAGAAATTGCAGAAGATTATATTTCTAATTAAAAACTCAAATTTCGAGTGATAAAAGATAAATTTGTTCATTAGAAGACAGTACATCATCGATTTACAAAGACATGGTAATAAGTTAAATGTATTGCACACATTTTTTAGGAAAGTACACACAAATAAAATTTAAAAAGAAAGATTTTAGGAAAGTACGATATATCAAAAAAAAATCTCTTCTCAAAAAACAGCAAATGGTTACATAATCAAAATAATGCAATTTATATCAATTTCTAATTAAAATGTTAAGTATAAGAGATTAAAATTCTGTGTTTAATAGCCGGACTATGTAAGATATTTCAAACAGATATTATCGCCAAATTATTAATTAATCAATAAATACTCTTATTTATTAATGTACATATGCTAATATACAACTGATATACAACCCTCTCTGTGTACTATATAATTCCAGTTCGTGATATCAATTTGGATTACATAATCGCGGTGATAAATAAAGTGTGTTTATACAAGCAACAGAATTATGTGCTTTGTACTTTCATTTTTGTTCAGTGCTACAGACATTGTTTTGGAAAAACGTGAAGTCGTCATTTCCTGTCGAACTGTGAAAAGTGGAATAAAAGAAATAGTGTGGGGTGTGTGTGTGTGTGTGTGTGTGAATGTGTACATCTTTCTTGCCTAATACTATGACAATGATATAATTAAGACATATATACCTCTACCGTGGCGTATAACGTGAGTTTACCCATGGGGGGGGGGGGGGCATCGGTCTGCATTGGCATAGTGTGATTTCGCCCATTTGGGGGGAGGGGGGGATTGGTCTGCATTGGCGTAACATGGGTTCGCCCATGGGGGGGGGGGGGGCATCGGTCTGCATTAGCTACAGTTTAAGGTGCTGGCCCGGTAGGCTCATCATTCACAGAACACCGTCTCTCAGCCAGTAAAATAGACAAAATTCTAGTTAGACTAAGAGGAGAAAAAAATTCGGTTTCTGACAAAACAAAGCCCTACATTAAAAAAAAAGTTACAGGGCGTCCCGTTCAACTACAGGATAATGTGCTGGCCCGGTAGGCTCATCATTAACGGAACACCGTCTCTCAGCCAGTAATTAACTAGACAAAATTCTAGTTAGACTAAGAGGAGAAAAATTCAGTTTCTGATTAATAAAGTGGCATTTAATCCTCATTTGCATATGCGCACGGGAGATAATATGTCGAGATAATTGGTATTTTGAAAGTTGTTGTATCTTTTATCTTATCTTATCTCGCATGGTATTTACAACAATATTTACAACAGGTAGGGGGTTGTTGTATCTTTCGTGGTGATATAATGGCGGCAATATTTTTTGCCCAGAACCAACTTTGTGCCAATAGACGAGTTAGAAGAAGTTTGTGTGTTGACCGGAAACACCAAAGATGAGAACTTTCTAAGATATTACATGCTAGGATATGACGATTTTAATGCTCTCATCTTAACCAATATACTGAAAGCGTGCCCATAGGAAAGTGAAAAGTATGCCGCAGACCTGCCGCAGATCTGCCGCAGACCTGCCGCAGACTTTTAGTCTGCGGCAAAGAGTATGCCGAAGTATGCGGCAGAAAGAAATTTTGCTGCAGACTTGCCGCATACTAGTATGCCACAGGAACAGTCTGCGGCAGATCTGCGGCAGGATGAAATTTTGCTGCAGACTTGCCGCATACTAGTATGCCACAGGAACAGTCTGCGGCAGATCTGCAGCAGGATGAAATTTTGCTGCAGACTTGCCGCATACTAGTATGCCACAGGAACAGTCTGCGGCAGATCTGCGGCAGGATGAAATTTTGCTCCAGATTTGCCGCATACTAGTATGCCACAGGAACAGTCTGCGGCAGATCTGCGGCAGGGCGAAACTTTGCTCCAGACTTGCCGCATACCAGTACGCCACAGGAACAGTCTGCGGCAGGTCTGCCACAGGAAATCCCATTAAAGTCTAATAGGGCCAATTGAAACCAATCATCTCATGCATATTCATTATTACTTTACACGTGTGACAGAAAAATACATTTATCATGATTTGTTAAGCAAATTAAGACAATGCACATCATTTTTGTGATTTCTATTTTCCTTTTGCCATTATTAACCAATAGATTATTTTGTCTGATCATGTTACAATTACATTCACGTTTAAGCAATAGATATATTGATTACTAACCAAGAAATTATGATTACTAACCGAGAAACAATATACATATTTAGTATATATATGTGTACGAGCCTGTGTCACTTTCATTGTTACTCTTGAATACGCTTCAAATGATCAATGTGATGAAGTTAATACAATTGAGAATAGAATATACCTAATTGGTAATATATATATATATATATTGGTATTACCTAATTGGTAATATCGATATTGCCAAAATCGATAATGAAGTATCAATCAGTTTATCACTGGTTCTTCTACATGCATACTTTATTGCCACGTACTGGATATGAAAGAGTATGCGGCAGGTCTGCAGCAGGTCTATATGAGATATGAATATTCATGACGAAGAGTCTGCGGCAGGTCTGCAGCAAGTCTGCATTGGTGTAGCGCGAGGTCGTCCATGATGGGGGGGGGGGGGGCATTGGTCTGCATTAGGGGGCACTGGGTCACAAAATCTGTGAAATGTGCCATAAGATTAACGCCCTCTCATAAATACCCCCAAAAAGGGGGGGGGGGGGTAGGTTGTTGTTCTCTTATGTACCTGTCCTGTTTGTTTACAATCACGATTTTCACAAATACGGCGCCTCTAATTTTAATGTACTACGCTATGCAGTATGCAAGCCCCGATTTTAAAGGCAGCATCTGCTAGTGAACAAATTCATGTAAATCTAGGTGAAAAAAAAGGTTATGAAATTAAAAATGTTAATTATATTATTCCAGCCAGATGTTGGGTGATAGCTTTCCACATTTAAATTGGAACATGAAAAAAGTAATTAATAAATGGGTCGATTGGAAAACACAATATGGCCTGCTTTTGCAATTAATCTTGCCATTGATGCCTTGTATGCCTATAATTAGGCCCCAAGGATCAAATAGAATTGCACTGAAGGGAAAACAAATGATTGTGACTAGAAACTTTCCCCTTTTTATTTTGCTTGGGGGGGGGGGGGGGGTTGGGGTGCGAATGTGTTGAGTGAAATAGTGGCCGGCCAGATTTTAAAATTTCCGGGGTCAAAATAAAATAGTGCTCACTCCCCCCCCCCTCCCCCCCCCCCCCCCTCCCCCCCTCCCCCTCCCCCCCTCCCCCCCCCCCCCCCCCCCCCCCCCCCCCCCCCCCCCCCCCCCCCCACTGAGCGATCGGCCGGCATGATTTTCACTTTCAGCACACTAAATTTCAAATTGATTTCAAATTTGTGCCTCCCCCCTCCCCTAAGAAATCCTGGAACCTGGGTCATGTAAAATTAGGTGAAAAAAAAGAGTATTGAATCAAAAAATTCAATTCCATTATTCCAGCCAGAGGTTCTGTGATAGCTTTCCACATTTAAATCAAAAAAGATAATCAATAAAGTAATTCCAAGAATAAGTCGATTTGAAAACACCATACGGCCTGCTTTTGCAGTTGATCTTGCCATTGCCCGTCCTTCATAATGTATCAGCGTATAATTTTTTTAATCTATATCGTTGTAAAGCGCATAGTCATGCCTGCCTACAATGGCTCCAACGATAAAATAGAATCGCAATGAATAATGGATAAAACAGTTAGGAAAGCAAGAACATAATGTTGAGAAGATGTGAAAAGGTTGTGAGAGAACAAAACTGGGTGAAATGGTTAGATTATACAGAGGTTATTTGTTTGCACGAAAAACAAATTTCTAGTTTAATGTCAGAAAATCATTTCCTCTTTGCATGCAAAAACTGATGGTCTTCAAGGTTACACTAATCCATATGGAGAGAGAGAGAGTGGGAGAGGGAGAAGGAACATGAGAGTCAGAAAGAGAGACACAGAGAATGGTTTGGCGAGAGAAAGAGAGTGAGGAAGACAGGGAGAGAGGGAGAGGAAAAGAGAGAGAGAGGCAGGAGGAGAACTCGAGAGAGAGAGAGAGTGAGAGAGAGAGAGAAAGACATTTTTTGATTGTGTTCTTCTTAAGTCCTTATTGAACACAAAAGCATTTTCCATAATGATGATCGATGGCTTCCTTCAATAGCGCCGTTGTCCTCCTCTTGCTGTACACCCAGGAACTGCTCGTTTTTAGGGCACCGCTCGGTCGCCGCTGAAGTTTTAGCGTGGAGTTAAAATTTACAATGTCTCATAAACTCAACATTTTTGGTCAGTGTTCGAATCAAGATTATTTTCAATTATTCGTTGTGGCATCGGTGAGATGATGTCGCACCTAGGCACTGGAAAGTCTTGAGGACTGACATGATATACTCAGCGCTCCTGATAGATCGTGAAAGGTTATTCCACAGCTGAGGTCCAGTAAAAGACTCTGTCACTCCAAGCTGTACTCAGCATGATACCACTGCTCAATCAAGGAACCCGTTTTAAGAAGAAATCAAACAGTTTCTTTGTCAAAGTGATTTCACTCAATATCCACGCTGCAATACCAAGAGTTCCGTGCCACAATGGAAGGGTTTGATCAAACTCTATAATGTTCTAGAAGATGTTTCAATAATTCCCATTTTTTAATTAATTGTGTAGATTTGAAAACATGATTACTAACATTTGACGTTCTCAAGCTGAACACTCATTGAAGGATGAGCCGCCTAATCTTTCATTATGTTCGGTTCATCTTGATTACAATTATTCAGTCATTTAGATCATGTGACCAATTAAATGTTTTATGTTTCATGATGTACTCGACTGAGAAAAGGTGGCACGGATCGGGATCGAAATTCTTTCAGAAAAATGTGGTTATCGTTGTCCAACAAAGGGGTACGTGTCAACATAAAAGGGGCACTTATCAGAGGTGGAAAGGGGAAGGGGCACTTTAAAAAATTAATAGAGGCACTTGTCAAAGTAAAAGTGGCACATTTCCTATGTAAAAAGGGACACTTTGGGTTTCTTGAAAAATGGGGGGCACTGTGCCCCCCCCCCCTCCCGGGAGCGCCGCCTCTGTGACATATTCATATTTCCTGCAAAGTTCTACAGAATTTGATGTTGGCTGTACAAAGGATACACTACCTCTAAAACAGGCTACATCCCTCACAAAATCGGTGCCGCGTCTTAGCTAAAATCTGTGAAATATCCAATCAGATTAATGGCCTCTATACTTAAAATAGGGGTCATCCCATAAATACAAACCAGAAGCAATGAAAGTTCATAATCACGTAAAATATGTCAGCCACCTGGATAAATGATTTATACCCATGAATCTATGCATATTAAAATGCTAGACGGCGGGGGGTAGGTTGTTGTTCTTTTACGTACCTGTCCGGTCTGTTCACGATCACGAATACGGCGCCTCTAATTTTAATGTGCTACGCTATGCAGTATGCAAGCCCTGATTTAAAGGCAGTATCCGCTAGTGAACAAGGTCATTGTGGTCAGTGGTTAGAGCGCCCGCCTCATGAACGGGAGGCCGTGGGTTCGATCCCTGGCCGAGTCATACCAAAGACTTATAACAATGGGACCTTCAGCCTTCTAGCTAGGCGCTCAGGGTGGTAATAACATTATGTTATGCAGGGCCCGCTGGAAGAGCAGTTTCATAACTGAAGTAGCTACCCTGGTGTAAATAAAACGTTATTGTTAATATTATTATTATTATTGTCATGTAAAATTAGGTGAAAAAAAAGAGTATTGAATCAAAAAATTCAATTCCATTATTCCAGCCAGAGGTTCTGTGATAGCTTTCCACATTTAAATCAAAAAAGATAATCAATAAAGTAATTCCAAGAATAAGTCGATTTGAAAACACCATACGGCCTGCTTTTGCAGTTGATCTTGCCATTGCCCGTCCTTCATAATGTATCAGCGTATAATTTTTTTAATCTATATCGTTGTAAAGCCCATAGTCATGCCTGCCTACAATGGCTCCAACGATAAAATAGAATCGCAATGAATAATGGATAAAACAGTTAGGAAAGCAAGAACATAATGTTGAGAAGATGTGAAAAGGTTGTGAGAGAACAAAACTGGGTGAAATGGTTAGATTATACAGAGGTTATTTGTTTGCACGGAAAACAAATTTCTAGTTTAATGTCAGAAAATCATTTCCTCTTTGCATGCAAAAACTGATGGTCTTCAAGGTTACACTAATCCATATGGAGAGAGAGAGAGTGGGAGAGGGAGAAGGAACATGAGAGTCAGAAAGAGAGACACAGAGAATTTGGCGAGAGAAAGGTTACACAACTCAATATGGAGAAGGAACAGGAGAGACAGAAACTGAGAGAGAGAGAAAGGATGGGGGGGGGGGGGGGGGGTGGGTGGGGAGAGAGAGAGAGAGATAAAGATAGATAGAGGGAGGGAGAGATATAGATAGAGAGAGAATGAGAGGGAGAGGAAGGGAGAGAGAGAGAGAAGGAGATAGATAGAGCGAGGGAGAGAGAGAGAGAGAGAGCGAGAAAGAGAGAGGAAGAGAAGAGATTTAAATAGAGTGAGAAAATAGAGCACAAGAGATAATTAAGGCAAGTGAAAAGCATACAAATGATATTGGAAAATATTATGAATCCACTACACAAGCAATTTTAATAAAACTTGATACTTCAAACTTGCAACTAGCAGAAACAAAACGGCCAAAACAAAACTAAACACAGGAATTGGTATACAGCTTAATGTTACAGGCATCCAAATCTTTGTAAACGATCTCTTACCTTGCATAAGCTTTGGCTGTGTATGGTACCATACATCTCTGGTCGGTCTGTTTATCTGAGAAGAACAGCAGCCACTTCTCATAGTCAGCTAATCCCTGTATACAAGGAGAAGTATCATAACAGCTAGAATGATCATTTTGAAGGACAGTAAACGCAGGTGTCGTGGTCGAGTGGATACGTCGCCGGACTGTCGATCACAAGGTCCGCGGTTCGAGTCCCGCTGCGGCATTAATGTCCTTCGGCAAGACATTTATCTACATTTGCCACACTTAACCCAAGTGATGTATGTAAATGGGTACCTGGCAGGAATTAATTCCTTGAAATGCTGGAGCGCTGTAATGGCAGCTAGGCTAAAGCCGGGGTAATAATAAGTGCCTCTCGGAATAGAATTTCTAGATGAACGGCGTTATAGAAATGCCTATTATTATTATTATCCCTTTCATGAACATAACCAGGAGCTTAGATCTCTAGAGAAAATTTAGAGTTGGGAATCTCTGACCCCTACTTATTAGTCCTGTAGCCAAATCCACATTATTGGTCTAACCTTGTTTTAGGGTCTATGTTTGTTTTCTTCAATAGATTTTGATTTGAATCTGATTGCTGACACTCTGTCAGCCTTGAGCTTTTTTTTACAAGAAAAACTAAGCGGTTTATATACAAAATTATTGACAAATATATATTTTTTTTGCAGTTATTTTGACACTTGAGAAAGAAATTGAATCAAATTGAATTGAATTGAAATGAATTGAAATGAATTGAATTGAGTTGAAGATTGAATAATGTTTCTATACTCACCACCTGTCCGATAAGCTGGAATCCTGTTGGTAGTTTCATACCGTAGACCTCGTGCTGTGTCTCATTTATCAACCATTGCTGTGCATGGACAGATCAAAAATGAAAATAGTCAGACATTGAATACTAGAACTGCAATCGCATTGCACAAACGTTGTGCATGCATTGACTCCCATGTTTTAACGTGGCAGATGGAAGAGCCTCTCTCGTACTATCCAGAGGAATTTGTTACATCAACCATTGGGATGGGACAGTTCATAATAACAAAACAGTCACACATTGATTATAAAGACATATACAGTTTGCAAATTTTGAACAAAACATGAAGGATTGACAGAAAGTAATTCCCATTACTCTGGGTCAACTTACAACACTAATCTCATTTAAAAAATGAAAACGAAGGGGGGGGGGGGACGGACATAATCCTCCAGACATTCTTCCAAGCACTAATGTTACATGGAAGTTAACCCAGGACCAAAATCCAATTGAAACCAGTTGAAATCTCCAACTGGTTTCAATTGGTTTCAACTGGTTTCAATTGGTTTCAATTGGTTTCAATTGGAATAGAAAATTTCCAGTTGAAACCAATTGCCGAACTGGAAAATATTGTTATGGGTACTCATTTCCAGTTCAAACCAATAAGAAGTGCAACTGGAACCAGTAAGGTAATTTTTCCAGTTACTCAATTGGTTCCAGTTAGAAGTCATTTCCAGTTACCCAACTGGTTCCAGTTAGAAGTTCAACTGGAAACAGTAAGATGATTTTCCTGTTACTCAATTGGTTCCATTAGAATTCATTTCCAGTTACCCAACTGGTTCCAGTTAACATTAATTTCCAGTTAGAAGTCATTTCCAGTTACCCAACTGGTTCCAGTTAGAATTCATTTCCAATTACCCAATTGGTTCCAGTTAGAAGTCATTTCCAGTTACCCAACTGGTTTCAGTTAGCATTCAGTTCCAGTTAGAAGTCATTTCCAGTTACCCAACTGGTTCCAGTTAGAATTCATTTCCAGTTACCCAACTGGTTCCAGTTAGAATTCATTTCCAGTAACCCAACTGGTTCCAGTTAGCATTCATTTCCAGTTAGAAGTCATTTCCAGTTACCCAACTGGTTCCAGTTAGAAGTCATTTCCAGTTACCCAACTGGTTCCAGTTAGAATTTATTTCCAGTTATCCAACTGGTTCCAGTTAGAAATAATTTCCAGTTACCCAACTGGTTCCAGTTAGCATTCATTTCCAGTTAGAAGTCATTTCCAGTTACCCAACTGGTTCCAGTTAGAATTCATTTCCAGTTACCCAACTGGTTCCAGTTAGCATTCATTTCCAGTTAGAAATAATTTCCAGTTACCCAACTGGTTCCAGTTAGAATTCATTTCCAGTTACCCAATTGGTTCCAATTGGAAATATTTCCAGTTACCCAACTGGATCCAATTGAAACCAGTTAATTTGCATATTATATGCTTGTGTGCAGATCAATGTTTTATGTAATTTATTTTGATTTACAATGTACTTATTAATTAATTTTCATTTGCAAGTAATGCATTTGTTTTAGATAAATATAAAGATTAATTAGCAATGATAAGCATGTTCATTAGTAACATATTTTTGTAATTACACAGATTAAAAGTTGATGAGTAAAACACTAACCATGTACAAAATACATCAATTACAAACATATATAATGGCAATGCCTTCCTTGTATTATTATATGGTCTGCATATTATAATGCCCTTTACATTGTACTTAATGTAGACACATATAACAATGTTTCTGTGTTGACATGAGCGATAATTAGTGCAAGAGCTAATTAACTTATAACTAATTAAGTTTATGCCAATTACTGTAAGTTTCAATTGGATCCAATTGAAACCAATTGAAACCAGTTGAAACCAGTTGAAGCCAACTGGTTTCAATAGGGAAATTGGAACAACTGGTTCCAGTTGAAACCAATTAGGCAACTGGATCCAGTTGGCAATTGGTTTCAACTGGTTTCAATTGGAACCAGTTGGCAATTGGTTTCAACTGGTTTCAATTGGAACCAGTTGGCAACTGGTTTCAATTGGAACCAGTTGTTCCAATTTCCCTATTGAAACCAGTTGGCAACTGGTTTCAATTGGTTTTGCTCCAATTGGTTTCAACTGGATTTTGGTCCTGGGAATGCACTTATTTGAGACCAAAACTAACATTTTAGACAAATCCCCAAGATTAATAGGAAAGATTGCATTGGACTACTCAAATAAATGTCTACGATGCGTGAGCTAAGAGTTAAGTGACCATATGCTGACCAGAAAAGTCTGACCATCCACACAGGAATTCACCTTGTATTCAACAAACATCTTCTACTGGTCAGCATAGACCATTGACCGACATGAATTACTGACAACTGATGTAGGAGGTTACTAACCATGCAGTCCACATTAGTCTTCTACTGGACACCAGTGACCATTAACCTATGAGTTTATTGACCACTGCTCTGGGAGATTTTATACTGACCATTTATTCATAAAATGTCATATCTTGGACATCATTAACCCTTGATTCCTAAGTTTCCTGACGATTGCTTACCATTTAATGCAATTTTACCACAAATGCATCCATCAATAGTCCTACTTATTATTTCCTTTAATTATGTCATTTGTAGTTTAAGGAGCCTATCCACAACAGGCTCTGCTTTTCCATAGGCTCCACCACTATATCTCTTAACGCTTATCTGCCGTAGTTTACAGGAGGGATTAGACCGCCCTGCAAGGTCACTGGACAGGTGGTTATCTCATCAACTCAGCTCTCAGTTAACATAAGAAAAAGAGGATCATGGGGGACCAATGGTCACCGATTAGGCACTGTTTGTTATATAGAGGGCGCAAGTAGCTACAAGTAGTGCAGTGGGCCTTTAAGTTCAACTCCATGGACAATATTCTTAACAGTTTGTACTGGTATTGCATGTACATGTATATTATAATCATTTTCAATATGTTAATTGTTACACTCTTTGTTGAATGAGGTATTGTTGTGTGGAGCCCCACAGAATACCCCCCCCCCTATTTTATTGTATATCTTTGACTATGTATGTATGACACAAGTATATTTCTAGCCCCCATATAGTCCCTCCTCTTAGTTAATTAGGTACCCCCTCCTGCGAGAGTGGCCTCACCCTCAACTAACCTAAACACACCAGCTGGGATACCAGGAGTGGCTTCTCACTTTGTTTTGCCATGCATCCTAGTCAACACCTTTCATATTTTGTCTTCCTTTCATAGGTAAGAAAGAATCTTATATTATTCAATTGTGTTATATTCTTGTTCTTCATAATATGTGTATTTCTAAACTATTATAGCTCCACTATTCACATATCTTGTATTACTGTGTAAAAAGAGATATTAATGATCTTTGCCAATGACTTGTTGGATTATATGACATGTGGACTATGAGAGGAAAATATATAAGAAATGCCATGTGGGAAGAGATGCCATGTGGGGAGAGATAATGTCATTGATGAACATAGTAATCACTTGTAGAAATGATAGGAAATTATTACTGTGTGTATGTGAGATTGATGATTAGTTAGACAACATTTTAAGAAGTTTTGAGAAGAGAATATACTTTATTACTGTCAGTATATTTGTCTTTTGCTCGATATTCATGTGTATATATATATATATTTATAGTTTGGTTAGATACAGTTTAATAGCGAAATGGGTTGTTCGAGTCCAGATTATCTTTAACTTTCAGTATTATGGTATGAGTGAGTGTGGACGCACCATGTGTACAATACTAGTGTGTTATTAGGATATGGCAGTGCGTTCAATGTGAACACAACTTCTTATCAGAGTTCTTAATCCCCTCTCCCCCCAAGCTTGACCATCCACTGCAATGCATTACACGCACACAGTGTAGATAGAGTATATGCTATACCCAAATGCTATGCTGAGAAGTGTTAGAGCAGGGAGGTGAGACTATGGAGATTGCGTCTCGAAAGAATTTCCCGAGGGAAAGATATTCAAGATTAACTTGGCTTAACAACAAGTAATGTAACCCTCTTCAGCCATCAAATCCATCAACAGCCGCCCTTATCAGACCACAGATGCCCTCTGGCGATCCAAATGTTACGAAGTGTTACGCAACGCGGCCTGCTTCCCTAAGCTCTCCAAACACTTGGTCGTAAAAAAAAGGCTTTGAAGCCATGCGAGTCACCGAGAAAATGACGTCATACTCATTGAAGATGTATATAGCTATAACAGACAAAAATACAAAATCGACAACTTATGGCACAAGGCAACCTGCTATTGGTTATCAAATGCTTTCGCTGTGCTCGGATAACTCTTCTGAAGACGTAGCCATCTGAACCAGCAAAATCGACCAAGGAAATCGTGAGTTAGAGTGAATGCAAGTTTCTCATCATCATCACGTTCTCTTCTAATTATTGACATTTTCCGAAAGTTTCCGAAATTTTTACATAGCTAGGAAGGTAGTCCATAAGTTTATCTCTTAAAATAACTAAATGAAACTGTGTTGTATAATTGCGCATTTGGTTTAATGAGGGTTAGAAGTTGTCAATTCATCACCACTTTTCACCCCGAGTACGGGCCGGCGCCGGCGACGCGAAAGCCGCCGTGCTCGCTGGGCTGTACATGCTGGATGTTGTTGGTGGAAACACACATAGCTGCATTTCTACCCTGGCCGTGTATTGAAAGTTGTGCTATTGATTCTCAACATTTCAAACACCACTGTACAAAACTCAACTGATTTCATTCAAAGGCAGTACTATAGTGACGATTGATGACACCTAAAGAGCATTAAAATACAATTTGTTCAACTTTCTGATGTTAGAAAGAATAATTTAAAAATTAAAATTGTGAGTCTACTGTCAAACTTGCCGATCAACCGCATCGGGATGATTATGTGCATTTGTACTGTATGTTGTGAGTGTATTGACTATTCATGTATTCAAATGCTGCCTATTTACATGGAGCGGCCTACGCATTCACGATGAAACCATTTAACCGTACATTCTGGTTCGCTGCAACGAATAAGATTTTCCGTTGATGGAATTTCACACGTGCATAACTTGTATTGGTCTCCAAC